TGTTAGATGTAAAGTGTAGCTAGAAAAAATTTCTAAATACGGCTTTACTGTATTTAGAAATAATTCTAAACATAGCCTAGCAATGAAATATATTTGTCAGTCTTTTGTTTACCCCTCAATTTCCATATTGTTCAAAGCCCTTCCTACTTGAAGTAATTAAAGTCCTGGTCTAGACGAGGTATCCAGATATGATATATACACGTGATGTAAATTATACCATGTCATTGGCCGAAATGCTATGAATATCTAATGATGTGTGAGAATAAAACTTATTTGAGTGCAATAGCTAGTTTATAGTTTTTACGTTTTATAGTTGTTTTTTTAAGGGGTTTTTTGGGACACCCGGTAGAAAACCAACAATACAGCAGTAATTTTCTTTTGTCTTTTCTTCATAAATTATTAGTGAAATTTTTAAAGCTATATATTATATAACAGTCAGACCTGTGATGCACTTGTATACAATGACCGCGGAGTACACTTGGAAGCGGCGGAGGGTGTTGTGATATGAGTAGCAGGAGGGATGTCGTATAATTTCACTCGTTTTTGTGTTGTTCAGTTAGCTCAAAGGAGCTTTATGAATAGTGCTACTTCAGTAACCTGCCTTAACATTGCATCATTTCTGAAACACACCAATAACATTCATAATAAAATTTCGAATGCCCTCTGCATGCTCCTTACACGCATGTCTCCACATGACAGATTTGTTTACTCAAAAAATTCCCCAAATCCTCCCACTAAAATGGTAATAATATCATAATAAATATAGGGGCGTACCTCCGATTTAAGCGTTAGGCCCGGTTTAGACGGCGAACTTTTCATGCGCCGAATCTAATACAAGGATTAAGTGCGACGTTGGAGCGGCGTCTAAATCAATTAAGTTCAGCAGGTTTTGATTAAGTTCGACACGACTCGAAGATGCGACAGGACAAGTCGTATATGCGACACAGGTTCGACATTGATTTAGACGCCGTGCTTTTCATGCGCCGAACCTAATGCATAATTATGTTTTAACATCATAATATGATTATCATATATTTGCATTGTAAATATTTCCAATATAATGTCTTCGCAATTTGGTACGGTGCAATTAAGTTCGACGTCTAAATCAGTTTCCGATATTTTGCCGTATCTACGACAATTAGATTCGGCGCATGAGAAGTTCGCCGTCTAAACCGGGTCTTAGGGTTTGTTTTCTCGAACAAGGGGCCGTGGAAAAAAATTATAATCTCTGAAATGTCGTTTTACGAGATTCTGGGGGTGACGTATATTAGATTTTGAATTAAATCCGATTTTTTTCAAATTGCGTAAACTCGTCTTCGAAGCCTGTACTTACTCAACATGATTTGAAAGTATTAATACCCAACAGGCAAGTTCGATGAATAAAATTGCCATTTTCAATCATTAGGACAGTGTTAACCCCCCCCCTGTTCCCGTCCCCCCTCCCATCCCTGCAAAGGCGTCTAGTTATTTCACCATGAACAAATCATAAAATATTCAAAAAAATCTAGTAGCTTGTTTGAGTTTCTAATTTTTTAATATCAATTTATGTTTAAGAACTGAGCAACATTCTTCCTGGCAGACACGTTGATGCGGTCCGCAAGCACCATGCCAGCAAGTCTCACATTGATTTCCTTACATGTATGTTGAACACCAGAGGCAAGCTATACACATTCCGATCTGAAGACTGGGAACAGTTGAAGCAATTTATCGATGCTTTGGAAGCTCTTTTTGGGATACCGTTTATACAGTGACATGATTTTATGCAACAGTTATCTGCTATATACCACATATAATTATTAACTTTAATAGTATAGTTGTTAGAAAAAGTAAGGAAAAAATTAAGAATTTGCATTTTTTTCACGATTTCTTCAATTTAACATGAGGATGTTAAGCAAGCGAAGTTTTGTCAACACGGACGTCAGATTGCTTAGGGGGAACTGGTCGGATTAAAAACTGTGTTTGTGCCAGTTTGTGGTAATCTTCAATACATGTGACAAAACATAGGACTTTTAAAGTTTTTTGCTTTCTTACACGAGCGCTATGAGGCAAAAGCTGCTAAAATTAGTAATACCAATTTTTGGGTGACGACATATATGTATGCAGTGTTGACAAAATATTGCTTCCTTCAGTTGAATATAATTACGTCTAAATATAAATAATTATGATATAATCGCGTATACAAACATTTTGTCATTAAACCTATTCCTAAAATTATAGTTGGCAGAGATATAAACAAAACTAAATATAACTAGTAGCTAAATATCCACTGTTTTTTGTTGTGATTTTGGCATCTCGTACAATAGGGGTGACAGTAGATGGGATTTTTGAGATTGAATTTTCGAACGCAACTACTCCTGCTTGGGTTTAAACATAGTCAATATAATGGGAAGGTTACTCAGGTTAGGAAACTAACTTTGGAAAATAACTTTGCTTTCTTTTTTATTTAAAAAATTCAATATAATAAAAAAGGGAATCAATATTAAAGATACACTGAAATTATATTCTGTCTTGTTTAGTTGTTTCATATACGCAAACGCCGTCGGGTTTTAAAGCCATTAATTATAAAATCAATATTTAAAACAAACTTACCTTCGTTAACGTCGGCTCCCTTCTTTTAGCCGAATCTTTCGCTGTTTCTTTCTGAGAGAGCTTTTGAAATTTACTAAATATTGCAAAAATGCGAGTAAAAATGAAATATATTCGCAAGAAATTTTTCAATCATGAATCATCAAATCAAGAAATGTTTGCTATTTCGCTGTCGTGATGCAGTCGTTTATGCAAACTCTAAAATGGACCAATCAGTGTCCGCTATTCATGACAGTCCGCCATATTTTTGAGGTCAGTGAGGATGACCACCCACCCAACACCGTTGGTGACCCACGCCCACGATATTTGATGAACTTTAGACTCCGCTAATGCTTTCGTTTCCCCGGGTGTAAATAGCCGGGGGGAATTAGTACCCTCGCAAGGCGCTTCACGCCATCGGCTCGGGGATCAATAGAGCATCATCTCCTGCAACTATATTAAAAAAATTTAATAAAATTCTTCACTGAATGCGATTTTTTTAAAAGCGAAAATTTTATAGGAAGATTTCCACTGTATAGAATCTTTTAAAATTTGAAATATATAAAATTTACTAAATTTAAAATTTGTGGTCAAAATTTGAGGATAGGTTACCAATGGAAATAATGAGAAAAATGCTGTCAACAACTCAAATTGTAAAAAACCCTCGTGTAACTCGCAAAATTCCCCTTATGTAAAAGCGTCGCTGACTAGTAAAAGATTGTACGCGGGCGCAGAACGAACTTTCATCCAGCAAAATCGAGCAGCAATGTTGTTTTTACTGTTTTGTTTTTGTCAACTTTTCGATTTATTTGAGTGCCATGGACAGCCAAGGATTATTGTGAGTCAAATTTTAGTTTACTCAATGTATGAGCTGTTTACTCAATCTATGAGCTGTAACAGTCGCAACAGCCTAAACAGGTGGACGTGTTTTTTTGTTTGGTTTTGTACTTTTTGCAAAAAATGAACAATTAGGCTATTAATAACTTAAACTGGGATATTTTTCTGTTTACATACAATCACTTTAATCTTGTAGAAAAACGACTAAAAACGTGAACTTTTTTTGAGAAGTAAATAACTTTTTAAACGTTTGTGTACAATTTTGTAAATGTTTTACAGTTGACAGTGTATATTTAAAAAAATTTAAAAACATTGTTTCGTAGCTATTTTTTGATCTAGTGATATTCGAATGATATGCAGAATTGCTGTATAGACTCGCAATTGATTTGGCACTCAAAACAAAGTATTATTCAACGATTTTTTCATTAGAAACCTTTCAGAAATAGCTTTTTTTAAGAAAAAAATCCCGGTCAATTTTTGTTCTGTTTTGATCGTGCGGTTGCGTGGGATAGTCCACGTCCAGCGAACATCCCGCATGTTACTGTAGGAAGCCTCTTTCATACCTAATTTTAGTGTGCAGTGATAACCAATTTGTGCAGTGATAAAAGTAAAATGTGCAGTGATAAATTGAAAGAAAATGAGGCAATGAGCAGCAAATCAAATTTTGTTATTTTTCATCCGCATCAAAAAAGAATAGATTATTTTCCTCAGCTAAAGTTATATGATCATGGAACCAAGAGAATGTTGCCCTTAGAAATGAAAAACTCTGTGAAGTATCTTGGTCTCATGATTGATTCTAGTTTATCTTGGAAAGCTCATATAGATTATATCTCTCTTAAAACCAGTCGGATTATCGGGATTTTTTCCAGAATTCGACATTTTATTCCAAAATATATTCTAGAAAAGATTTACTATGGCTTAATGCATCCTTATCTGAGTTATGGAATCACTGTTTGGGGTCAAGCTTGTAAGTCTGATCTCAATCGTCTGCTTGTTCACCAAAAAAGAGCTGTCCGCTTGATGCACTTTGCCGATTACAGAGATCACGCTATACCTTTTTTTACTAAATCTGAAATTCTTCCAATAAATTTTCTCTATTTTCATAATGTGGCTTGTATTATGCATGACGTTATGAACAATAAATCTCCGGTTAATATCACAACATTATTCACTGCCATTGCTGATACACATAAGTACAATACTAGGTCTGCGGCTCGTCATGACCTTTATCAACCATTTTCGAGATTAAATATATTAGCTAAGTCATTTTCCAGAATGGGTGTAAAAATTTGGAACAG